AAGCCAAGGGCTGACTGTGAGAGCAACCATGTCCCTTTGTAATATACGCCATCAATATAAGTTTGAGAAAACTTACAAACTAAAGGCGACAAAAAAGCTCGATTAGGTATACATTCGCAATTAAAAACATTTTCAAAAACCTGAAGATGAAGGAAATATGTCAAAATGTGCATTTCTTAAGAAGCACTGTTTGAAACAGCCATGGAAGTTATTCCAAAGACCAAAGAAACAGAAATATAAGATGGAGAAAATACTTGAGCTTATGGAAGATAGAAGGAAAATGAAAACCGGTAATACAGAAGAGTATAAGAAAGTTGAAAACAATAATTCGATCAATGTGCAATGCAGAAAAGGAAAAAATACTTAATGAAAATGTATAGAGATTGAGAAACAAAAGAATAAAGATGTTACATCAATGTATAGTAATATTAAAAAAACACAGATAAAGGCTGATGCATTGCTAGTAAATGTATAAAAGCTAAAAACGGTGATATAATTGTATTATGGAACGAGAACAAGTAATAATAAAGATGGGCACAGTATTTTGAAGATTTATTCCACGACAGTCGTGGAGAAAAGCTACCTATTAAGAAGAACATTGATTCTTAAGTCAAACGAACGAACAGTTAGCAACAGAATGAAAACCAATAAAGCTGCAGGACCGGATGAGAATGCAATAAAGTAAATAAAATATTTTAAATAATTTGGTATAGAAAAGTTAACAACTACTAACAATGAGATTTATGAAAGTGGTGAAATACCTGAGGATCTCAGTAAATCGATCGTTACTGTGCTCCCCGAAAGACCTGAAACCATTGAATGTGAGCACCATCAAACCATCATTTTAATGAGCCAATGTGACAAAGATTTTATTAAAGGTGTTGATGATGAGAGATAGAAGTATAATAAGACCGGAGATTGCAAAAGTTCAATGTGATTTTACTGAAGATTGTGGTACAAGATATGGTATATTCATGGTACGAATGCTTTTGTAGAGAGCAATATAAATGAAGAAGAACCTTTTCTTTGGTTTTACTATTATATCAAAGCTTTTGATAGAGTCGAGCATGTAGAGTTAATGAAGATGCTGAAAGAACTGGACATTGGTGGTAAAGACTTGAGAATTTTAAGAAATTCTACTGGGACCAAACTGCAACTGTGAAAATACAAAATTAATTAAGTTATTTCATCCAAATTACGAGCAGTGTAGGCAAGGTTGTTTCTTTTCAGCTGACATATTTAATTTGGACATTGAGAAAATCCTTAGGGAAGTTGAGTATTTGCTGGGCTGATTATTTGGTGAACAGAATTTCAATAACGTTGGTTATGATGAAGACACAGTTTTAATAATTGATTCAAAAGATTTTAGATAAAGTTGTTAGTAAAAGTGAGAAGAAGGGTTTAAATGTTAATTATAGGAAAACAGAATGCATAGTAATTACAAAGAAGAAGAACATTCATGTATGCATTGCCTAAGTAGATAAGGAACAGATACCTGAGTAGCTTGATAATATCAGATGATAAATGTGATCATGAAATAAAATGGAGAATAGGAATGGCAAAAGAGGTACTTCTGAAAATAAAAAATACAGAAAAAATGTCAATGGGGATGAAGTTAAGAGTTTTGTATTGTCATATTATATCATTTCTGACCAAATATGAAAAAAGATAACTGAAACAATTAAGTTATAGTTTTTAAGGCGCATCTTGAAGGTATGTTGGAGAAGCCACACCTCAAATGGAGATAATTTATCAAGAGCTGGTTCTAGGAGAAAATTTCTAACTAACACCAGAAAAAAAGGTTGCAGAAATTGATAGTCTGGTTGTAACTGGAAAGAATGAAGGAAGGAGAGACCTTGGAATCCAATGGTTGATCTATGGCAAGAGTCTCTCTAAATGTTTGAATGTATCGAAATTGGAAATTCTTTGTGCCTCAAGGAAAAAAGTTCTGTGGAAAATAATGGTCACCAACGTCCTGTTTGGATATGGTACATAGAGACAGATATGTTTTGATTGAGAACATAGCCTAGATTTATCATACACTAACTAAATAGGGTATGCTTTGATTGAGTAACGTAATCTATATTTATCATACACAAATTAAATAAGGTATGCTAGACAGTAGAGTATTAAATATAATATATTTACAAGATTACATAATTAATAGTAGGCACATATACTTTGGATTAAAAACAATGCTGTAGACATTTAACGCTCAAATTATACATTATATTGTATGTTCAAAATGGTCAAATTAGATAAAATAAGGTAGGCATATAGTAGTCACATAAGACAGCGTATATTGTAAGAATACCAAGGCTTGAGTACGTTATATTATAATATTTTGAATCTGGAAATCACAGCCTTCATAAGGTTGTAGTAGAATGGGATGTATCAGAGCTACAATTTGGCATTATTTTGCGTACCATAGGTAGATGCTATCGAAAATTGATTGCTTTATGTAGGGCATGTAACAGGCCGATCTGGCACAAAATCTTTATACGTTCAGACCATAAAAAATATGTTTAGTTCGGGGGTTTAGAATTAATAGCATTGAAAAACAAAGAAATATAGATCAACTTGGGGAGGAAGGACCATCGAAAAAGAGACCTGCAACAAGTCGTATCCCAGTTATAGTAGACAAAGTGCGACATCTTGTAGCAGTTGAGAATCCGTGAATACAAAGATCCGTGGAAAAAGCCATCTACATGACCCAGGAAACAGTAGACAACATAATCAAGAAGAATCTACATCTAGAAAAGCGATACAAATCACGTGTACACAAGATGCTTCCACGATATATCCACTCAAGTGTCACATACCTCGAGCAGCTGGAGAATGAATATGGATATTCATGATGTTCCCAACAAAGACATACTGTTCAAGTTACCAGATGCAATGCTTGTGGATTTATGTGTGATCAGACTGTTGAAACAGACACATATAATCCGTCGGCTTAGTATAGTAGATGCATTATGGAAACCATTCAGCGAAGTATTGTGTGCTTGAGACATGTCAGCCTTAAGGTGGAGCCTTTTGCAATAGAAACTACGCTTCAGGGTCATTGTCAAAATGCACGGTCTTCAAACAGAGCATGATCTAATATGGCGACATGATCTGTAACGATCGAAAACCATTTCAATGAGAAGTGGTTGGAATATTAACTACTTTATCGTAGACAGTTAGCACGTACCACGTTTTATAGATATACTAGTTCCATTAGATACCATATCTTAGAAATAAAATAGTCAGACTACACTCCATATCTTAGATAAATAGTATTCAGATAAGATATCATATTTTACATATATAATAGTTAAATTGCATAAGGTGATTTAGGCAAAGCAGCTTTGAAATAAATGTTTCTTTGGAATTTTATCAACGATATTGATATTTTATTTCTAAGAGTAAAGATCATTGACTCTTTTAAATAATTTTGTTTTTTATGTGATTCATAAGCACCCAGTTCTTAAATTCCATGTTCCGGTTTCAAGTCATTTCGTGAAGTACTCTGTAGATTATTCACAGATGGCTTGTTGAAGATTAACAGAAATGTTATTTATCTTCGGTACCAGCTCCTGTCGAGGCATCAGTTGAAAAACGATGTTCTTCGTTTGAGTTTTGAAGCCAATTAACCTTCCAAAAGCAAATCCTATTTACACAGTCCCATAGAAGGCGTCAGTAAAACTGAAACCACGCCCTCTATCCAAAAGTTGTTTAAAGAAAGGGGCTACCTTTTTTTTTTAGTTTTCGTTTATCGCATATTTCTGACAACCTGTTTGTACGTGATGAGGTGTTAGTAGATGATATAAGCTCACACCATGGCTCCTTTGTCAGTTTACTCATGTTCACCTGAATCACCAAGAGAATGCCTGGTTTTGGGCAAAGAATTTCGCACTTCCTCATATATATATATATTTATATATTTTCGTCTTGTTAAGCATGATCAAAGTATAAAAGACAAACTGTTTGTGAAATAAGCTAGGAGTGGAGGTCATGCTACAAATATCTATAGGTCTCACCAACAACAGGGACAACCCATTAAATAGCCCAGGATCCTGGACTCCAACTCAACACTAAATTTACTGTGCAATATTCAACGGACATACAACAATCTACCTGTATGTCCTGTTTATATTGTATTAAATCAGTAGCCTTTCTCAAAGTTCAAATATTTTTGTTATTTGTTCTTAATAGTATCAAATGTTCAAATATTTTTGTTATTTGTTCTTACATAGTATCAAATGTTCAAATAATTTTCTCATTTGTTCTTACATAGTGTCAAATGTTCAAATATTTTTTATTTGTTCTTACATAGTGTCAAATGTTCAAATATTTTTTATTTGTTCTTACATAGTGTCAAACTAGAAAACACAAATACTCGTTACCTTAAAACCTACAAATTAATGTTTTCCAGTGGAGACTATTTTGGTTTGTACCAACTTAAAGACGATAAGCCCAAGGCTTTCGTAAAACACTTAATGTGAAAACCTACAAAATTAAACATTTATAAATTCGAAACCATACAAACTTCAACCTAAAACAATATCGGGTCATTGATTATAAGTACGACGTGTTTGTACTTATTTTTACTGCAGCTCCTTTCGATAGCTTCTAAAACCAATTTTCCATTTTTAAAGCATTATTGTATAACGAAGTTTCACTCAGAAGAAGGCGTTCTCATTCAACCAGTGCCAGAAAACGTTTGGCAAGATCATGGTTCAAGAAATTCTTAACAGAAATTTAAATATATATATATATTGGTTTGAAAATCAGCTAAATAAAGAAACATGAAATAACTTTATTCATTTGAAATGTATGGTCACAAAAAGATACATTACTTGCCAGAAAGTGTCTTCTTCTGTTTAACTAGGAATGTCTAACAAGATTTGCTTGTTTACAGAGTTCACATAAATTCATTTAAGCCACATTTTTTTTTATAAAATTATATTTCAACACCCAATACACTCTAAAAGACTAATATTCACTCTGATGCACGTTTTCAATATGTACTCTAATACGTTACACATAATCAATATTCACTCTCGTGCATTACACATATTTAATGTTCACTCTGGTTCGTTACACGTATTCTTTGAAAGTGAGTAAGTCGTGCATACAACGATTATAAGATGTTAAAGACTACACGTTGAAACACTTTTAAAACATTATCCCATAAAAATAAAAAAAATATTGTATTATGATATAAATTTGTTATTTGCAGTATTATAGGTGCTACCGTTTGGGATAAAATAGATTAACCTTTCTTCACCACTGCTTACATTGGATATGTTTGATTAATGTTAGTATTAATTCAATGTCACAAGTCTCTTGCAGAAAAGTGATAAATTGTTCAATGTCAATTATAAGCTTCTCATGAAACCAAGAACAAATAATTTCTATCACGTGGAGCGTTTATATCACAGAAGGTTAGGTACTGCATAGACCAAAACAGTCACATAAAAATCATTATTGCAGTTCAGAGACCAACAGTATATTCTTCCAATCACTTTTGCGATGAATGCTATAGTGATGGTCTGAATCCCGCTAGAGAAGCTGATGGGAATAGCAACAACAGATTCACTGAAATATTCATATCAAATTTTGCTCAATGAAGCGATCACTGAATTTATTAATACTTATACAAAGTAATAACAGTTTACGGCCTCATGGAGTTGTTGTGGCATCCAGCAATTTGTATATACATGAACAGAAACTATTCCAAAAACATGCATCTGTCGAGTGTTGGGTATACAGAGATGCGTGATGTGTCGTGTGGGGGATATGCAGAGATGCGTGGTGTGTTTAAGAGAAATAGGCTTTGTTATTGCTTGAGGAAACCAAAGTCAAGCCCACGACATAAACATTGTCAATCAATATATACTAAGTATGGAATCAGAAACCATTCATTTATAAGAGAAAAATGATAACTTAGTGACAAATACTGTGATGAAGATAAGTCGCATGTCATCTTGATGGAGAAGAAGATGACCTCCCAGAATCCGTGCGTTCATTATTTTCCACAAAATCTCCTTCTCTTGGTGATAAAGAACAGTCTGGCGAAGAACGGTTGTCTTCTGCGAAACACTGAGGGGACAAGATGTGTTCGTCTCTATCCTTTGGTGTTTCCTCTTCTTCTTGTTTTTGCCGTTTGAATTTTGTTCTTCTGTTCTGAAACCAAACTTTTACCTGCGAAAAAACAAATATTAACTTAAGTGCTTTCTTTTGATATATTTGAGTGCAACTTCTTCATTAAAGTGCTTTCCTGATTATGCGTGATATTTTCTATATCGACAAAGTAAATCTCTGCATTTAAATCAATGCAACATTATATTCTAAGATATAAACACATCACTGTAAAACTTAGATAAAACCATTTAGCTTTTGTTACCATAGTCTAAAAATTGAAGTTTCTGTTGATACGTTAGTAATATGTGCTACCACATAAAGAATCACTTTACTTATTTAATAGTCACTGAAGAATGCTAACTTTTTTTATGTCTCGCTGTAAAATTGTCAAGGTTTTGATAATGATAGATTGACAGTAAGATTGTAAGCATTTAATACATGAAAGGTTTTTAAAAGTAATAATTCAAACGTGCAACATATCAATTGCATTTTAGGTGGGTTGTGAACTATAAAAGTCCGATTCATTAACAAAAGATAATTTCAAAGCATCACTGAAGTCAGTTAATCACACTAAGTCGATAGCAAGAAAGCCTTTAAAATTTGAATCGGGTTAGAGTTCGAACGCTATACGTAGTATCTATTCTATAAAGGTGACTGCTGCCTGTTTGGATTTTTATGTATGTGTTTTCAAATAGCGAACAGCAGGAGTCTGAAACGCATCAGTTTTATTTATGGCATTGATGTTCTTCCTCCTGAGCAAATCCCGACACTAGCGATGTTCCCAGCATGAGATCCTTTTGATTATGGCTGTGAATAACTAAAGATTTATATTTAATTGTTTTTGCGCCTTTCTATACTAACATAACTTAAGCAGTTTGTATGTGTGAAAGTATTTAGCCTAAGCAAGGGATTGAACTTAGATCGGTGTGACAGTGAACTGGACCAGCACCAAACCAATGAGGTTAACAGTTACCTGAACAAAACATATTTTTATTCGTGAGAAATAACACGATCTTCATAGATTTAAGCACATATAGCTTATACCACGGAGCGTGTTCAATGCACTTGTGGCGCGAACCTTGGACCTTATGATCCGCAGCAAGGCATACTGACCTTTTTCTTCTACATGTGCTAAGTGTTGATGATGCGGGGGATTCGAGGCTTTCGTCGATATGCTGCTTATTGGAAGATAGAGATATGTTTAGACTTGAATTTTTAAACTTGAGTACGTTAGAATGTTTCAGCAACAGGTTCGGCCCGATTGGAGTCCAACTAGATAGACTTTTGTCCTGGCATGAAAACATATTTTTAGGTCTATCCATTGAGTGAAAAAACGAAAGCCAAATCCGACTAGATTCAAACTTGTTCATCCCACCTGTGCGTGTAGAGGCCGGACAGAGGGAAAGTCACAGAGGAAATACTGAACGTATGAATATAGAATTGTTAGAATAGCTTCAGGAATTCAATAACAATAAAACGTACAAATAAAATAAATAAATATCAAACAGATAAACGTGTGAAAGCCTGAAAACAACATTTGCTTAGAAATTGGAAGAGCGGGTAAATCAACCTTTTCACATATGTAAAGTTTGACAGACGACAATTGGTGTCAAATTATACGTAGGCTCTCGTCACTTTTAGAATAAAATAAAAAAAATGATAGCGCATAAACAAATTTCCAAAACAGCAATGTTACCAAATATTTCTGGAAATTTACAGCATTTACACTAGTGTGCTCATGGTATTTCGTTAGTCTTTCTTGACACTGTAAAAGTATCGAGATTTAAGTAAACTAGCGATAAAGACCTCCGGCGTGTCCATTTTATTTATAAAACACAAAAAAGTGCACAAATCTCAAAGCGGTAATACAGTCTGGCCGTAATATGAAAAAATGATGTTTAAAATATACGTAAATCAAGAACTTCGACCAGTTTTGGTAAACATTGATACCAAGCTGGGAATTCTAAACTTCGACAAACACATATGAAAAACAGCATGTATATACTTCAAACTTTCCTGGCAATCAGCGAAAGCCATTACGCATTCAGGGCGTCAGTGTGTGTATATTATTACAAATGAAGGCGTCCATATCCTTCCTACAATACTGAGAAGGTGGTGTGTATATTGTTACAAATGGAGGCGTCCATATCCTTCCTACAATACTCAGAAGGTGGTGTGTATATTGTTACAAATGGAGACGTTCGTATCCTTACCGTGATACTCAGAACGGTGATGTGTATATTATTATAAATGAAGGCGTCCATATCCTTCCTACAATACTGAGAAGGCGATGTGTATATTGTTACAAGTGAGAGTGTTCAAAGGGTGTTAATCGTATTACAAATGGTAATATTCTTATAACTTTCTTACATAGTTAGGTCGAGAATCATAATTTTAACCAAAACTCGTCTTCATTTCCGCTCCTTCTCAACCTTTTATTTATTCACGGAACTATAGAAAGACTGGCAAGCAATGTCAAAATTAATAGACATGATTAAACTTCTTTCTTCTCTACATACGTTTACTCCGGTGTTCATACGTTTTATACGTTAATTGTGGGTATGAAATATAAAATCAATATAATGAAATACACCAACTCATACAGTATGAGCTCACGTCCAAGTATTTTGTAAAATCATTTCATGCTGCTGCTGTTGCTACACTTTCAATCGTATTGCTATCGTTGCTACACTACTAGAGCCCTAAAAATGACGGACTTGTATGTAGAAATAAAATGTACAAGTTTTTTGTTTTGTTTTTAAATCATTTAATCGAAAATAAATCCGCATAATCACATTATCTTTAATGATTTATTTTTTCTCAGACAAAAAGACCCATAAAGATTAAAACTTTCGATAACTTTGGTAGGATTTATATGAATCTTTTAATATGTCATTTTTATGTTTTAATTCTTTCACTGCCAATTATCAAGGATATACAGTATAACCATAAGTATGCCCAAGGCGGTGCTCTAGAGGGAAACATATATGTGCCCAAAGGGCGGTTTGATTTGTGATAGAGGTGAAGATGGTTGGAATATCTGCGATACTTCAAAATATTCCCCGCTCATTAAGCTTTCTGTGTGTTATCAGTGTGACAGTCAGTACCTTAGCATGGATAGTGAGCGGCAATATACTGCTGATTGACTCTATAGTCCGTGCTCTAAAAGCTCTATAGTTTTTCGGAAGGCTAGATCTTTATTTTTCAGGCTTGAGCTAACTTTGAACAGTACTCTTAACCCTGAAAAGTCTACTTTCTGAAATCACTCGAGTTATCGGGCTTCTTGTAGTTTGACGTATTCAGTGTTTCATCCTACATCAGACCCGGTTGGTTTTTAGTTGTTTTTTGTTTTTTAATATCGCGCAAAGCTACACAAGGGCTATCTGCGCTAGCCGTCCTTAATTTAGCAATGAAAGACTAGAGGGAAGGCAACTTCATCCCTACCCATCGCCAGCTCTTGGGCTACTCTTTTACCAACGAATATATATATATATAATCCTTCTTTATCTCACCTATAACACCTGGATACAACCTGTTAAGATTTTATATTCAGATTACTCAGCACGCCTGACTATGATGTCATGTTGAAGCCTAAACAAACGTTTTTCATCTAAAAAAGTATTTATTAAAAAAAAACGGAGTTTATTTTTCCAGTCTCTAGTGGTAAACACTTAGAAAATGTGAATGTGTTTGAGTAGATTTGTTTCTTTACAGGACATATCTTGTACATTTTGCAAATATTCGTTACACTTCAGTAACGTCAACGTTACCTCTATGCTTTCGGATTTTGTGAAACAGACTGATGATGATGCTTAATCAAACAAGCACGCATTAACCTGGACAATTCTCTGTAAACATCTTTAACTCTAAATACATAATATTATTTTAAAAATTTAAATTCAGAATCATATTTCACGAGTTTCCTGGAGAAAAAAATAACAAAATGTATTCATTCTTATATTAAATACATGAACCAAGGACTTACGTGTACCTATTGTTATGCTGTGTACATGAAACAAGGACTTACGGTTACCCATCATTATACTGTGTACACGAAACAATGCTTTAACGTTTACCTATTGTTACACTGTGTACATGAAACAAGGACTTACGTTTACCCATTGTTATATTGTGTACCTTTTGCAATAAAATAAAAAAATAAGAATTATTACCCCTTATGCGTCATGTTTAGACGATTAAACTAATCAGTTGCTTCTAGGCGTACGACTTATTGTCTGTTAACACAATACTGTATTTTATTAACATTTTAGTTACTTTTAGACGTTCGATTTACTATCTTTGTTATTGTCTGTTAACAAAATACTGTATTTTATTAATATTTTAGTTACTTTTAGACGTTCAATTTACTATCTTTGTTATTGTCTGTTAACAAATACTGTATTTTATTAATATTTTAGTTACTTTTAGACGTTCAATTTACTATCTTTGTTATTGTCTGTTAACAAATACTGTATTTTATTAACATTTCAGTTACTTTTAGACGTTCAGTTTATTATATCTGTTATTGTCCGTTTACGCAATATTGTATCTTAACAGTACTTCAGTTACTGTTAGACTTACGACTTATTACAGCTGATATTGTCTCTTATTATTGTACCTTATTATTTGTTTATCTTATGATTTTTGAGGGAAATTTAGGTAGAAAAAAATACCAACTTCTTCTATTTGTTTGTCCTATAATTTGTTTGTTCTATTTGTTTCTTATAATTGCTGGGATTGTACTTTTAACCCCTATATACACATGTTATTTCAGCGCGTCTCTTAGTTAATTAAGATTCTGACTTAAATCCTTGCGCGTAGCTGCTGCCTCATGCTAATATTACCCAATAATGTGGCGCCATGCTAAGTAACTCAAACTCTTCAGGCCAATTAGCTAGCCGACATATAATTAACGACACTGACAAACATACCTTTGTTATCACTCTTTTAATTACCGATAGTTTTGATCCATCGCTTCTCTAACAGGAAATATAAAACTATCAAACTTTTTATGTTATACTTTTAAATGTTCAATTCCTCACGATGGACAAAGCCCAGATAACTTATTATGTAGCTTTGCGCTAAACTAACAAACAAATCAGGTATTCAGCCTTCTCAATATGTAGCTTTAATAGAAATACAAGCTTCACGGTATTTCGTGTAGCAACATTTATTGTACGTATATACATGTACGTGCCAATTCTACCTGAAACCACTTTATCTATTTCTTTACCATTCAGGAGTTTTTGACATTTTGTACAGAGTGAAATGGAGATCTCAAGGATTCACAAATTTCAAGATATCAACTAATGTATTGCCTTCATCAAAGTGTCATAAGCATTCCTTGTAATTAACGATTAAACGTTTTACATTTTACAAGAGTAGAACGTCTAGCTGCTGAATCTTAATAAAAAACTGTAATTTAATTCAAGAAAACCATGAACATTTACAATGCTTTTCAAAATATTCATATAATTAGAAGCCTTAAGAACTGTATCTCTCTGTAGATAAACACCTTAACGATAAACCCAGAAAAACGAACAGAAAAATACCTCCATGTATTATATATACATGATGTATCATACTGAATCTTATTATCGAAAGTGAATCGAGTAAGATTAACCTCGAATGTATAAATAATAGATTATAAGAATTTCTATCCAGCTGGGCTGGGTTTCTATCTATTCTCAACAGATGTACTACAAATGTGTTGACTAATTCAAATTACTCTTAAACGTGGTAAAATTGTGTTACTTTAAACGCCAGACTGGACTATTTGTTTACTGGTGGTTCTGTAGCTCTTATATAGTTAGGAATATAGTTATTATCTTACAAGTTTGTTTAATATTATTACAACAACCAAGGGAACCTAGGTACGAAACTCATCTGGACCTTGTCTGATTTCTCTTGATTGTATACATATATATATAAACATAATACGTATATATATAAACGTGATATGTATCTATATAAACATGATATGTATACATAGGGTCTAAAGAAAATACTTCATTATTGAAATTATTATTAATTCCGTATATAATAACGTCCTTTACGACAATTTCAAACCATCTGTAAGGGACAAGGACTAAATATACTTTTAATACCGCATTTCAACAGTCGCATCTTAAGAGTAAATGATGTACACAACCGGATTCAACAATCGCATCTTAAGAGTAAATGATGTACACAGCTGAATTCAACAGTCGCATCTTAAGAATAAATGATGTAGACAGCCAAATTCAACAGTCGCATCTTAACAATAAATTATGTACACAGCCGGATTCAACAGTCACATCTTAAGAATAAATGATGTACACAACCGGATTCAACAGTCGCATCTTAAGAGTAAATGATGTACACAGCCGTATTTAACAGTCGCATCTTAAGAATAAATGATGTAGACAGCCAAATTCAACAGTCGCATCTTAAGAATAAATGATGTAGACAGCCGAATTCAACAGTCGCATCTTAACAATAAATTATGTACACAGCCGGATTCAACAGTCACATATTAAGAATAAATGATGTACACAGCCGGATTTAACAGTCACGTACTATATTAACCTAGCTTGTAGCTTTTTATGCATATCCTTCTAGATGTTCCTGTATCTAGCAGAAACAAATTTGACAGGAGGACTTATATATTTGGCGTAGTCCCCATACCGAAGGGGGAGGCTGTAGAGGTAGCTAGGGATAATGGAGGAGTTTGATAGTTACATTGGAGCTTCTGGGAATCATGAGGTGATCTTTGAACCCTGCAGCAGAGCACGGGTATTTTATTCCAGTTTTGTGAACAGACGGATTAAATAATCACATATTATGAACAAGTGATATACACATACAACCAGGCAGACATATATTTATATATGTATATAGCCATTTAAAATATAAATCTTTCATTCCGTGGGGTGCAATCAAAAATGCACAAAGAGACTGTTAATAATTTCATCACTGTATTTTGAACGAGTTAAAAACAGGTTTCCGGTCAAGAAGATTTATCAGACGTATTAATGACATAATACAACAACTCATACATAATCAAATACTTTTAGACACAATGTTTTCACCTACAACCCTTAATACGATAAAATGTTTTAAATTCTCCACCACCCCTTTATAAACGACGATAAAACATAATTTTTAACAACAATAACGTGTAAAACTGAAGACCGCGGGTTGTTATATACAGGGTATTATACCACTGATTGTGAGTGTGTAGGGTAGTGATAGAATCATATTTGGAAAATTCATATAAAATTGTTTGAACCATACCTGAGTTTCAGTAAGACCAGATTTTGTTTGCTTTATAACTGAGTTTCAGTAAGATTCAAACTTTAAACCATTCCCGAGTTTCAGTTAAACTGAGCTTTTGTTTGAACCATCTCAGAGTTTCAGTAAAATGTAAGCTTTGTTTGAATCATACCGGCGTTTCAGTAGAAATTAAGCATTTTTGAACTATTTCTGAGTTTTAGCAAGACTCAGACTTTGTTTGAACCATACCTGAGTTTGTTTGCTTTTAACTGAGTTTCAGTAAGTCTCAAACTTTGTTTGTACTATTCCCGAGTTTCAGTTAAACTGAGCTTTTGTTTGACACATGCCAAAGTTTCAGTAAGATTTAAACTTTAGTAGGAATTATGCTTTTTTGAACTATACCTGAGTTTCCGTAAGACTTAGACTTTGAGCAAGCTGTTTTCTTTCAGCACCCACTACGTAATGATTGTTCTCGAAAGCATGTTCCAGTTTGAGTAGCTGAGAAGGAGAAAAGGCGGTCCTGATCCTCTTGGGCTTACGGAATGGATGAAGGAGGAACCCTTGACTGTCCGACCCTAGAAAAGAGCATTCAAACACTCAAATTCCATGTTACTATAAGTTTGTATATATATATATATAGTTGTGTAGTGGCCAAGCATAATAAATAAAAATTCATGTTACTTTATATATATATAAATAGTGGTCTCGTCAATAAATGTTCTTCATAAAATCCATGTTACTATATGTATATATTAATTCAAGTTATTATTATAAGATTTATCATTTTCCGTCAATTATTCTGAAAAACACAAACGTGTATTTTTCTGCTAGGATATAGATAAAACAATATAGTGAAACAGAAAGATGTGAGACAATGTTATAAGTGATAATAAGTTTATAAACTTCCCACCTACAAGGTTGGATAGCTTACATTTGTTGTGTGTGGTAAAAGTTTTGACAAAGAGAGAATTATAATCCCTAACCCTCAAAGTTACTGGCTTTATTTTTGCGCGTGGTAAAAGTTTTGAAAAAAGAGAGAATTGTAATCCCTAACCCACAAAGTTACTGGCTTATTTTTGCGCGTGGTAAAAGTTTTGAAAAAGAGGGAATCGTAATCCCAAACCCACAAATTTACAGGCTTGTTTTTGTGCATGGTAAAAGTTTTGAAAAAGAGGGAATTGTAATCCTTAACCCACAAATGTACTAGCTTATTTTTATATTTTAGATTTCGACGTGTTTGTATACTGATCGCAGCTGTTGGGTCTATATACTGCATCATATTGAAAAATGTTATGCCCTGTTACAACACTCAATATAAAGAACTGACTAAACAAATTTAGTAAAAACCATTAAATTATTTGTCAAATACGGAAACCTAGTGACAATTAGCAGGATTAATTGCAATATTGATGGTCTTTTTACTTACATTTGTTGATGACTAGTATATTGTTTGGGGCGCTGTAACCAACCAAGTCACAGAGCTAAAGCAATTTGGTCCATAAATAGTTCAGAGAAGTGTGCTTAGAAATTAGATATGATCTAGGCCTTATTAATAATTCTGGGGTTAAATGCACACAATGAATGTTGTACATATCATTCAGTCCTACTCTATGATTTGTTGGATATTTTGTGAAACTTTGTATACATAAGAGTCATAATATAGACAAATGCAATGCCACTGAAATAAAAAGATTTAAAAACAATAACATAGGAAAATAAATGTCTATTGAAGCCTCAAACGTCAAGAGCCAAGAATAACTGTAATGGTTTGTAAACAAATTCAGTTGCAAAAAAAAAATTCATCACCAGTAAGAAGTGCAAAGTCTAAGACCCAGTCGCCAGGTTTCTAAATCAAAGTGACTGGTCACACATAAATATATATAACTGTATGTGACTGTTAGGTAGTTTTTGTAATTGTAAAAATCGAATATCATACAGGCTTAACTTTCACTACATGACAAAGTCACAAATATAAGTGATGAATATAGTGACGATAATAACCAAGGAGATCATATATATACCCCATTTTGTGTATTTACCTAGAATGGCATTGCTTCATGACTGTTTTTGTGGAGAACTAGTGCAGGAAGTCATGAGAAAGTTAGGTTTTCTATTTCAACAGCTACGCTGCATATATAATCTGTCGCTATGAGTAACTGCCTCTAGCGTCTGCTACCTTGAGGGAGACTAGGGATCCAATGAGATTACAAGCTGTCATCAGTGCGTGCGACATATACGCCTGTTGACTAGAGGGAACAGAACGTGGAAGAGAGTGACGTCTCATTGGCTCCGATTATCTACTTCGCCTTAGCATTTGTGGGCTTTCATGAAATAATCATTTCATTGTAGGCGGAGCAGAATTACAAGATGAGATTTCATAAGCACATGTGTATACTATTCATAAAACTACTCCCTCTGTTCGGTCTGGTCTTCAAACTATAGTTTTATTCAAGGGTTCCTTACTAACATCCTGAATTCGATGGTTTCCTGAGGGAATAGCGAAAAGCCCATACACTTAATAATATTCATTCAAAGTAAGTAAAGGTAAATTTGGAGCCATCACACAAATGATGTTCTTGAAATATCAAACATTTAAAATCATATCGACCTATGAATTTACATATTTAAATTTCAAATATAAATAAATAAGCACACACTTTGTAAATAAATCTATGGTATAGAAATAACATTTAAACATTTGTTGTAAAACATTATTATAGGCTAAGTCAATGCAGATAGCATGACATCAGTGCAGGTGGTTATGTAACGACTACTTAGGTTTATCTCTAACTGAATCTTGTATTGCTGACATCCTGGATCCACTTTACAAAGTCATCTTGTTTTTGATTATCTTATTGTTGAACTATAATTATAAGACTACTTCTTACAGAGATTTTATCAACAATGTAGATGAAATATTAGTTGTTCTCAACTTCTCACTCCACAGAATGTGATAATAGTATTGTTGGTTGTTTCAGCTTGGCCTAAACGTTTTTCTGACTAAACGAACAACTTATTTTGTTTTTAATTTAGCTCGATAGACATTCGGAATCATTAAGCACCTTTATTTTAGATTCAATCAGAATCTAGAGTTTCTATGGCTAGTGAAAGCACTGTTAGAGGTTTCAGTTGGGTGAGAGAATTTTTCTGACTACTATGGTGGAACCGTTGGTGATTTCAGTCTTCTCTGTAGTTTTCATGATTAATCGCATATCCAGTCAAACCTAAAAGTTTCATTGATTACTACGGTAACTACTACTAATGCTGATTTCGTTCTCATCTACAATTTTCTCATAATATTGAAGCATTTTGTTGTGGTTTCAGTCTCGGGCATAAAAGTTTCTCTGATTAGTAGTCGCATTAAAGATTGTATTCGTTTGACTAGAGGATTTCTCTATTTAGTTCCTCGACAATTAATAATGTACCTTAGTTAGTCAACTGACTGATAAATGTCACATTTTTTCTTTAACAATTTCTTTAAGTATTGTTTGACTGTGGGTGTCACAGCACGACTCAAGTGATTTGCTGACTAGTACTTTGACTCAAGAATTTCTATGACTAGAAATGTGACTGATGAATTCCACAGTTTGACTCAAGAGCTTGCTTAGTAGTTTGGTCGAATGATGTTTCAGTTTGATACAAGATATTTCCTAGTTAATTATGATGGTGTGCGATTATGTCGTGAGAGTTTCTGCTTCATCAATAAGCCATTTTGAAGAGTAAATTACTTTTCTTCTTAAACGCCATTGTGAATTTCTTGTATTTTTTTCATCTGTTCGTCAATCAGACATGTACTGATTTTGATACAGAAAGAAACTCGGGATGTTAAATATATCAGTTCCCCTTTTAAACCTAGAATTTTTAATAGAGTCCATGTGAGTTTTAAACACACTTCCCTAAACTATTAAAGTACTACATGCTTATGAGCACGAGACTTTGTTTGTAGAAGGTGCCCTAATAGTATACAAGTCGTTGAAAGCAATGTAGAAAAATACCATAAAATTTTACTGTTGGAGTCCCCTATGTATTTTACATAGAAAATGAACGATTGCGCTTAATCTTTTGGTCATTTCTTTATACAAACAAAAACATGAAACTGTTCAATATGTTGACCCTCACCAGTAGTGAACTGTATAGAAACAAGTCGGTAATTTGAGGTTAAACCGCCCTTGATGATTCATTATGGAAGTGATGAATTTATTATGGGAAAGCATCAAACTCTAGACCAGTTAGAAACAATGCTTTGTTAAACCGGAGTTTGATTAAATTTGATTGGTTTTACAGTTATATTTCAAATTAAGACAGTATTCATGATTTGAACTATCGCTGAACAACAGATAAAAGTTATTTTATCATTCTCTTTAAGAAACTCAGTAAAACCTTTTTCGTTGACCACAAACAACGGGTAAACAGACTGTGCAGTTGTCAAATGTTTTTAACGATAATTACATACCACAGAACATAAGAAGACCACTACATGTCAAAACCGCACAATAAAAGAGCGGCTAACCAAATAAACATCGCCGAAAAAAATAAAGTCATCGGCACATTACTCATTTCGTAACAATTCGTCAACTGAACATATATCTATCCAAATATTGCCGTAAGCAGCGGAAAAAATCGGAAAGAGGATGAGCAAATTACTTGAAATGACCTGATCATAGCTGTACCAGAATACCAAAATCGTTAAAGCAAAAGAAGAAGAAAGGAAACGAAAACGTTTCTTCTCTGAAGTTTCGTGATGATGTTGGTAGGGGAATAAAGCTTCGCAGTTCCCGACGATGCCTGCGTAATCGGAAGGATTACTCGATAAGTACTGGGAAAAAGTTTGACACTTGAAAAAGTAAAATCAGAGCTTAACGCGTTGAAAACCAACATAGCCTTCACTTGAGCATGGAAAGCGAATGCTACTTTTCATTCTAAAGGCCTTTAGCAGTAACAACAGTGATAAGTCAAACCTGAGACGTCAGGATTAGATAGAAAAAAAAAACACGTCGTCTCCTCGGTCTCAAACGTTTCTGATACTGATTTATAATACAGTTTGACTATTAATTAACTAACTGATAGTTAAGTTGCTTTGCATTAAAGTACAGTTAAAATAAGTCTGTTGGTTGACCTGAGGATTGCAATTCTGTCAAGAATCTATAAATCATCCATGTCAACTCTTTTGAACTAAAATAACATTTCTATGAGCGACAGGCGAGACTACCTATCTTAATGGCTGGATAAAGTCCATTGGCTTCAAGTCAGACCCTTCCTCGGCCTCTTAAAGACTCTATTATAGTTAACAACAGTTCTTAAGAGTCTCATGTAATTTTGCTCTACAAGCCCCATGAGATCCAGTTGCGACTCTAGCCTTGGGCTTTGGCTATGGTAAAATGTTTTTGCCTGTTTTACTCAGGGAAAAGCAGAGTTTGTTCTACTAATGCTAGGGATCACGAGTATTTAAAGAAAGAAGATATAAAGTGTTATTTTATACACTGAAGTATTATTCCTACTAACTGTCACACCTCGCAGTGCAGTACGTACCACAAATCACTCTACTGATTTAATAGAACCGTTATTCCTACTAACT